GTAAGATTAAATGTCCTTTTTACCTATATAACCGAATTATAAGTAATAAAACTAATAGATATTTCCCTCTTTAATATAGTATAATTAGGCCTTAATAAGATTAAATATCTTTCTTGCCTATATAATTGAATTATAAGTAATAGAATTAATAATTATCTTTTCTTTAACTAGAATAATAGCTTTATTCTTAAATAACCGAATTTTAGGCAAATATAGCTTAATTCTTCCTAATTTATAAGTACTAACTAATTAGTATTAGTTTACTAGTAATATATAGTATTATTATATAGATATAAAAGTACTATTTATATAAGGTTAGTAAAGTTATTATTTAGAAATAGGAATTATAATATTATAATATTAATATATAATCCCTAAATCTACTAAGCCTAAAGGAGTCTAGTTTACTAGTTAAGTTACTAATAAAATACGAGATTATATAATTATATCCCGTATCTCATATTTTATTATCTATATTTTATTACCTATTACTTATTCCCGTATCCCGTATCCCGTAACTATATACGTGATTTCTAGAAGAATAGCTATACTAATAATTACTAAATTAAGAATTATTATAGCGAGTTTTTACTATATATATAAAGTCTTTTAATATATAATAAATTAAAAACTATTATGTTTTTTAATCTATAAATAGCTAGTTTTAATTAATATTTAATTAAAGAAAATAATATTTACTTATTAAGTTAAGGGAATCGAGTATTTTCTATATTAAAAGCTTTAATCTGAGCTTCTAATAGTTATTGATTTTCTTAATTATATTTAAGACTTATAATAAGTTTTCTAACCTTTCTTTAAATTAATAAATCTATAATTTATTAGTAAATCTCTTATAAATAATATAAGAAACTTATTTATTATTTATTCTATTTCTTTTCTTTTTTCTCTTTTTTCAAGTTTATTTTTTTCTTACTTATATAAATCTATAAAATAAAAGGTATTATAATTATTCTTAATAAGAGCTTTTAAAATATCTTGAATTACTAGATTTAATATATAAGCTATATAAGAAATATCTCCTTGAAATTTAATACTTTTCTTATTATAATACTTTATAAAAGCTTATAATAAGGTATTATTTGAGCTAGTATTATCTCGAGTAATACTAAATAAAATATATTAGTAATTATTTTAAAAAACAAGAGTTATATTACTTATTTAATAATATTATACTTAATACTATATACTTTTAAAGCTTCTAGTAAGACCAAATTTATATATTTACTACTATAAATATCCTTTAAATCTTTTATAGCTAGTAAATAAGATTTTAATTTAAAATCTTTATTTATAAAATATCTAGAAATTAAATTAGTAAATATTTATTAATAAGTTAATAAGAATAACTTATATAATAATTCCTAAATAAGCCTTTTAATTTATAGTTATTCAGATATCTAAAGTAATAGAGAAAGTACTATTTAATAAGATATTTTCTAATAATTCTTCTTTAATAAGGTTACTATTTTTATTAAACCTTAAAATAAGTTCGTCTATAAGAACTTGAGAATATAAAGGCAATATTTTACTATAAAGAAATTAGTTTAATAATATATAAGATAATTTTTTAATAACTTACTAGTTTAAGTAATTAAAAAGCTTTTAAAAGCTTGAAATAATAACTATATAAAAAGAAATATTATTATTAATTATAAAGTCTAATAATAACCTCTTAAAGTAAGTTATAGTAAAGAATTCTAAGTTCGTATTACTAGAACCTTTATTAAAGGAACTTGTAATAGATATTTGACTTAATTCGGCTATATTTTCTATAATAATATCTAAAATAAAAAGTTAGTTTATTATTTCTTTAAGTTTTAATTATAATTTAAACTTACTTATAAGAGCTTTATCTTTTAAAGCTTTATTAATATTAACCGATTTATATATATTAAGATAATAAGTTTTATAATTACTTATAGTAATATTAATTCTTTACTTTTAAAATACTTTACTAATATTATATTAGCTTTAATTCCTTTAATTCTAATAAATATAACTTACTTATAGTTCTTAAATAAGTACTTAATAGTAACTGTTTAATAGTTAATTAGATCCTCCGGATTCTCTTTAGGAGAATTAAGAGTTTTCGAATAATATTTAAGAGAAAAGATAGAAGGTTATTATTTAAGTAGTTCTAGTTTAAAGTTCTCTCTATTTTAAAGGATATTAAGCTTAATAAATAATATTTCCAGATAGGTATAGTAGTTTCGAGTAATTTTATAGTAGAAATCTTTTTAATAGGATAAGTAGTTAATATAATATATAGTTTTAAAATAAAGGAATTACTAGAAAATTAAGGAGAATTAGTTATTTATATATAAAAAGTCTAAAAATCTAGAAGATTCTTTAATAAGCATCTAATTAGAAATACTTCCCTGATTTTAAATCACTGATTTCTAAGATTCCTTATTTATAATTCCTTTATTTATAATTCCTTTATTTATAATTATATTATTTATAAGGTAGTAAAGAATTACTAAAAAGTCGAGGTAGTTCTAGTGCCTTCCGGCTCGCTTACTAAGCGGACATAGCCGCTACTAAGCTTATTATAGTAAAGTGGCATCCAAATTAGGCTAGAGCAAACCTTATTTTCATGCCATAACGCTTTTGCTATATCCGCAGTCACGTGTAATACCACGTGACTAAATAATTAATTATATTTAATTAAATTAAGTAAATAATTAATTATAATTTAATTATTATGATTCTGACTTAATTTAATTTGATTACCGGCTGTTATAGTTGTGTATCACGTGCGCGGCTAGTCACGTGATATGCACTGTGCTCTCATATAGTAGAATAGCTAATAAGGCTTCTAACCTTATTATTATACCTTTTAGTCTAATTACTCATATAGTAAAGCTATTTCCCTACATGTGTATCCATTAGTCTAAGCGACTCGTAATACCGGCTAATAATTATAATTAATTAAATTATTTGATATACTATTAGTCCTTGGCAAGAGCTAGCTATTTTCTCTCTTAGGCTACCGGATGCTTTATAGAGTTAATAGGTAATTCCCCCTTTTAATATAGACTAGTTCAATTTTGCTATAGGCTACCGGATACTTCTTTAGCTTAAAAGATTTTATTCTCTAATCTATATATATAAACTAATTAGTATTAGTTTACCAGGAATACATGGTACCGTTATATAGGTATAGAAGTACTATTTATATAAGGTTAGTAAAGTTGTTATTATTCAGAAGTAGGGATTGCAGTATTATAGTATTAATATGCGATCTGTTACGCTCTACCGCTTCACTGGTAAATTTAGCGTCACGTGATCGCGATGACGCATGCGGCTGGGGCTAGTATTTAGAACACCAAGCTCCCGCACTTACGAGCTTCCCTCCTTAGTTTAGAATCCTTGGATTAAGAGCCACTCTACTTTGCTTTCTAAGCCCAGAGCCCGGTTTCGTAATACGATCTCTAAATCTGCTAAGCCTAAAGGGGTCTAGTCTACTAGTCGAGTTACTAATAGGATGCAAGGTTATATAACCATGTCCCGTATCCCATATCTTATTGCCTATATCCTATTACCTATATCCCGTATCCCGTATCCCGTAACTATATATGTAACTTCCAAAGAAATAGCTATACTAATAATAACTTCTTATTTTCTAATAATATAATTTTTTATTTATTAAAAAAGAAGTATTTTTAATATATATTTTTAATATATTTATAAAGTTATTAGTAATAATTTAAATATAATTAACCTTAATAATAATATTAAGAACTTGCTTTTTAATATTTATATATATAAAATAAAATAAATTATTAAAGAATTATTAATATATAAAAGGCTTAAATAAATCTTTTTAAAAAAGGCTTTTTATTCTAATATTTCAAATATAAAGAAGTTAGTTATAAAAATATAAATAGCTATTATAAAAAGCTTTATATTAATTAAATTAAAGAGCTTAAAGAAATTATTAATAAACTTAACTAAATGCTTTCTTTTAAGTACTATTTCTTTCTTTTCTTTCTTTGCTTTTTATTTTATAAATAAAATATAATTATATAAATGCCTTTTATAATACTAAATAGTATTTCGAGCTTTATTTTCTTTATAGTAAATATAGATTACTTTATTAAAATTATTAATTTTGAGAATTCTTCTAATTTAGGCAATAATAAAATTATTATTAAGATTCGGTTAAGTAATACTAGCAGGTATTTTAAAAGAAGAAATAAGTAATTCAAATTATTTTAAATATATAATTAATAATAGTATTAATAATATTTCTAGAGAATTTTAAAGCTTTGCGAGAAATCGCTATATAAGCTAAGCTTAGTATGGCTAGTGCGTCACGTGCTATAATACTAACGTAATAACACCTTTTTGACTGTTATATTAGATTATTATATAACGAAGGCTCAAATTACGTGAATTTTACATCCCTAGTCCGGCGAGACATTACTAGCGTGGGCAGGGGGGTCTCGTTTGGCTGGCGGGGCATAAAATTATGGCTTCTGGAGTTTTATTGGGTGCCACAGATATGGCTAATACGTTAGTAATGTCTCGCCGGACGAAGGGATAATAGTTAAATTAAAATTAGGCCTGAAGGAAGGCATACGCGAGGTGAAAAGCTGGCCGCAGCCGAACAGATCACCGAGTTGTAATTGAGTTGGGACGTACGTGCACAAACTCGTAGTAAATTTTCATGTGATCACCGTTGACGTGTTCAGAGTTTAGTGGTCTTGTTCTGGGACTAGAATGCGCCTCCACCTTTCTGAATTTCAAGGGGCGCAGCACAGGGAATCAAGCCACCATGCAAAGCCTCCCAGTGGGGTTGCGCAGCGATCAGCCGTATGACGATGCTTCACCGTATTTGGCAGGAAAACTTAAGTTCGGTAGCCTTCCCATATTTTGCCAGACTTTTGTACAGGCTCAACGGCTTACAGACCTCAAAGCGTGTCAGCACTTCGATCATAACAGAGAATAATTGTCTAACCGAGTTCAATCCAACCATGGAGGCAATCGCTGCTCTCGGAGTAGCTGGCAATGTCGTCCAGTTTCTAGATTTCGGTCAGAAGCTGATTTCCACATCTCTGGAGATATATACCGCGGGGACCGGGGTCACTGTTTCGAACAAAGAGTCGGAAACGCTCCTCAAAGATTTCATCGAAAGCATTGATACGGTGTCCGAAAACTTATTGCAGTACGACACGAGGCTGGGCGAGAAACTGCCGCAAGCGACCGCGCAGAATGGGCTTCAGGACATTATAAACGATTGCAGGAACTTGGCCGCAGAACTTCTTGTTCGTTTCGAGAAGCTCAAACTCCAAAGAAAACCAGGACGATGGCAGAGCACGGCGAAGGCAGTGCAATGCATGTGGCAGGATTCAGAGCTCGTGGGATTGCAGCAAAGGCTCAGTAAATATCAATCTCAGCTTGCATGGCATATTCTACTATCACTGAGGTAGTATTGCCCTCCTTGTCTTGGGAAGCCTAATGCTAATCAGCAATTTATAGACAGGACTTCACCTTAATGGCCGATCGACAAGTGGATCAATTCACCGAATTTCAGAACTCGATGACACAGACGTTGTCGGATGAAATTCGACGCCAATGGGAAATTCTACCCCGTTGGCCGATTCCTGAAGTGAAGGAAGACAGCGATAAAAATGGTCGTGATAGTTCGGTTCCTTTAATCCCGTTGAAAGTGCGAGGGACTCGCGGTGAGGACAAATTGACCTTGCTGTCAGCTGGCAATGGATCAAGTAAGACGATAGAGGAATCAATCATACAAGACACTGCCCATGGATTTGCTACTAAGCTTGCTGAAATCGAGTCTGAGGTCTGGAATAGTCTCACATTCCCAATTATGACGGATCGTGAAGATGAGATTGCAGATGCTGAACTTCAAACTTTCGATTGGATCTTCAAACGTCCACGCAGTAAGGATCGACGTTGGGACAATTACCTAAAATGGCTGGAAACTGGCGATGGCCTCTACTGGATCAACGGTAAAGCTGGTTCAGGAAAGTCAACACTCATGAAGCATCTTTTCAACCACGATTTAACCAGACAAGCGTTGAATCACTGGGCTGGGAATTTACCACTTGCTATAGCGGGCTTCTTTTTCTGGTATAGTGGAGGTGAGCTCCAGAAGACTCAGGTCGGCCTTCTTCGATCACTTCTCTACCAGTACTTGAAGAACCACAGAGAACTGATCCCGGTGGTGTTGTCAGAATCTTTGGGGTTAACAACAACAGACCTGGCTGGCCATTGGACTCTATCAAGACTCAAGCGTGCGTTCGCTAGGCTAATACATCAAGACATATGTCCCCTTAAGATCTGCATATTCGTGGACGGCTTAGACGAATACCACGGCGACCACTCGGAAATTGCTAGACTATTCGTTGAGGTTGGACAATCGAAGCACGTTAAAGTATGTGTTTCCAGTCGACCATTGCTTGTGTTTGAGAGGGGTTTCGGTAGCTTTCCTGGACTGAGCTTGCAGAATCTTACTTTCGATGATATCAAAATCTACGTCAAAAGTCGGTTGGGCGATAACGAAAGAATGAAAGAATTAAAGTATGAAGAACCAGAGCTACAGCCACGACTTATTGACGAGATCCTCAATAAAGCCGCTGGTGTGTTTCTATGGGTTAAGTTAGTCGTACAGTCCTTAATGGAAGGGATTGGGAATTTTGACCGTGGTGAAGACCTTGAACGACGACTTCAAGAACTTCCAGACGATCTAGAGGACCTCTACTGGCATATGTTGGGTCGGGTGAAGCCATCTTGGTACTTGGAAGAAGGGTTCAGATTGCTTCTGCTAGTGAAAGCTGCCCATCATCGGTTGACGCTCCGTCAACTCTGCTTCGCGGAAACCCCAGACCTCAAATTCGCTATCCTATCAGAACCACTTAAGTTTTCCCAGAAGAAACAAAAAGATATGTGTATCAGTATGAGAGGCCGAACTAAAAGCAGGTGTCTTGGGCTTTTGGAGGTATCAAACACAGCAGAGACAAGCCCAACGAAGCAAACGGTGCAATTTCTGCACAAGAGTGTCAAAGACTTTCTGGAGACACCAAATGCACAACGACACATCTCAAAGTGTCTCTGTGGGAAAGGATTTGACCCTGATGTTCAGTTGATGAGTGGATTTCTCATAGAACTGAAGCACATCTCGGAACTGAATGCACTGAAAAGAGAAGCGTGGTTTGATCATGCCAAGCCATTGATCCGGCTATTTATGAATCACGCGCGACGCGCTGAAGAAAACTCACAGGGCGCCCAGGTAGAGTTGGTGGACGAACTTGACAATGTTGCGAGGTGGCTTTGGGGGCTCGTTACCTTCAAGGCGGCCGAGGAGAAGCTTATGCACTGGTCCGTGGCTAAGCGCAGACCTCCTCGAGCTGACAACAAGAAAAACTACACGGAGGGGTCCAGAGATGCTAGCTACGTTAAAAGTAAAATACTAGAGAGCCCCGACTCTACTGCCGCTCAAACGATATCAAGGATTCAACCTACATTTGCATTCTTCGCTGCTCAGCAAGGGCTAAGACACTACCTGAGTGCGAAGGGGGAGACTGAAGCTTTGGCCTACGCCAATTGCCTTTACTCACCCAGCCAACAATCCAACAATGCCACAGATTCAAACCCTAAAGGAGAAGGTACTTCAATCTTTCCCTTATCCTCTATGCCAAGGAACGTGTTAGCACCAGATCTACAAAGTGAGAGACGGGTATCGATGGAGCCTATAGAAGCCTATGTTCATGAAGATTTCTCGCCAGCGTTATCTTTTCCCTCCACTCCCTCGAATCCCTCATCTGTCAATATTCACGAAGTTAACCCACGTTCTGATATCTCGACCGTCGACTATTCCGATTATACATCGGAAGTATCTGGGGAACATACCGAATCACGGCACCCTCGGCGTAGTTGGAAGGCAATCCAATGGCATTATCTCTCAGAGTCTCTCTTCAGCAGACTAAGGATGATATTCAAACAAGTGAAAAACCACCACCCCGGTCCCCGGCCCCGGCCCGCGAAAGACATCAAAGACCGCGAACGCGACCTTCTCGTGGCACGCGTAGATGACGGCGTGCTCGTGAATTCGAACCTCGAGAATGATATCGCATCAAATAGAGTTAAAGTCACCTCTCTCGCTACGGAGAGCTTTTCAAGTAACAAGAACAATACCCTGGTGCTGTCACTTTAATGTAGAGAAATAACTGAAACTCTCTGCGGGTACTACTCATGCTATGCATCGTATAGCTTTGCAATAAGAACATCAAAGTTTTCTTTTGATTCCTATAATGGTATAAACGAAGGAGCTGGCATGTCCGGTAGGTGTGACAGTTCGTGCGTCACATGACTTCACATGACTCTCAGTGGCCCTTGAGGAGGTCAAGCTACTGCGCTAGGGAGCACGGGAGCATTAATTGTTTCCAGGAAGATGTATTTTATCTTAGCAGGTGCCCTTAGAGCTTCACTCCTTTCCTCCTTAGCTTAGTATCTTCTAATCCACGGCGACTCGCCGGCACTCCTTAATAGAAATGTCTCCTTGAAGCGTTGCGTTTAATAAGCTCGTCTCAAAATTGTGGCGAAAGACTGCGCTTAGTTCTTACGCAAAAGATTTTTGTGGTCGAAGGATTTGGAGAGTGGAGAAGTTGAGGGAAGGAAGAGGCGAGAAGGAAGAGGCGAGAAGGAAGAGATTCGGAGAAAATAGTGGTTGATACGTTAAAGTATAAGTTAAACCCGATATTAAAAGCAATATCATGTGGAAATTATGCTGCTCTTGCTTCCACGGCTCGAATCTTGGAACTCGTTTCGAGGATTTTGACTTGCCCCGACGGCGAAAGGCTGGAGCTTAGAAAATGAGATCCGAGAACTACATTTGAACTTGAATTTTGTTTAATAACCACGATCTCATCTCTTAGTATGATCTATACTGCACCTCTGATGCTAGAGTGGCTCGAGAGCATGGAGATAACCCAATTCTCCTCAGTCTATGGTCGTATGTGAAAACAATTCTGGGTATTTAGATCTATATTTCTAATTCCGGTGCGAGCTTTTCGAAACATGAAAAGTTATTGCTTAGTGGTCGCTGTTATAGAGGTAGTCAAAATTTGTGTTGAACTAGCTTAATAAAGCTACAGTCACGTGCATGCAATATAAACCAAGTAAACAATACTGAATTGACTGCTGTTCTATAGTAGTAAGTAGCCCATATATATAGCCCTGAACCCCCCTAAGTCACATGTACTAAACCCCTAAATCGGGGAGCCTTATAGTATGCCAGTTAAATTAATTTAACCTTATAGAGCATATTATACTAGGAAATAAGCCTATAGCTTAAGCGCTATTTTAAGGCATTTAGCCCAGGGCTTACTAAGCTTATTAAAGGCCTCAAGCCTTTAATTTTAATAATTCTCTTATATATTACTATAAATAGCCCTAAAAAATAAATTCCATAAATATTACTTTATTTACTAAAGCTTATAATTTTATGATTATAATATAAATAGCCCCTTTATATAATATCTAAGAACTATAAATAATAGAAGCTTAATAAGTATATTAGCTATTATTTTCTTAATAAAAATATATTTAATAATAATTTTATTAAAAGCTATTAGCTTTCTAATATAATAATAGCAAATATTAATATATTTAGTTTAGCTATAAGCTATAGGGTCTCTAGCTAATATTATATAACTCTAATTATTACTAAATATAGAAATTAATAAGGTAATATTTAAATATTAAATATATTTTAGTTTTCTAAATAAAGCTCTAATTTGCTAGCTTCTAATAAGTTAATATATTTTAATTAAATAATAGAAATAGCTATATAATACTATTTAATAAAGAATTAAATAATAGATTTCTTATTAAATAAATATAAGTATTTTATAATAAAGTATTTATTTATTATATTTATTATATAATATAGCTTATAGCCTTTTAATATAAGCTTTAATTAGCTTATTTCTTCCTTAATTATTTTATAATTAGAGTATTTTAATTATTTATAAAAAGATTTATAAGCTTAGCTTTCTCTAGTTTAAATCTCTTTATAAGGCCTATAATATACTTATTATCGGTTCACTAGTAATGCATGGCACCGTTATATAGGCGTGGAAGTGCTATTTGCATAAGGTTAGTGAAGTTATTATTTAGAAGTAGGGATTACAGTATTGTGGTATTAATATGCGATCCCTAAATCTGCTAAGCCTAAAGGGGTCTAGTCTACTGGTCGAGTCACTAATGGGATGCGAGGTCATATAACCATGTCCCGTATCCCATGTCCCATTGCCCATGTCCCATTGCCCATATCCCATTGCCCATGTCCCATTGCCCATGTCCCGTGTCCCGTGTCCCGTGACTGTGCACGTGACTCCCAAAGGAATAGCTATACTAATACTGGAAACTCTCTAAAAACGCGAAAAACAGAAAATAGTGCTCCCCTCCGATCGCATGCATATTCCCTAATCCGGCCTAGTACCAGATGCTCAGATGCCAGATGCTTAGATACTAGATGCCCAGATGCCAGACGCTAAGGGAATCTCCATGTATATCCTCTTATTCATATGTCTATTTCCTGCTCTATTCGCGTTTGACTTATTCCTCTATATCTAACTATATGGTATTCGTATTAATGAGGCGCTTAAGGGTATTTAATGGCTTTAATTTCGTTATAGAGTCAGCAGGGTTTAATTCTCCCTTAATTCACTTGATTTCCGCAATCTCTTATTATTTATACGCCTGGCGGAGGCATATTACGTCAATTATTAGGCGTTTCTCTCGAGTAGTACCCAATTGACGAGGTATTCATATAATGACTTTGAATCCGTATAGACGACTAGTAGTAGTTCTATTTCTAGTACTCTATTAATTATAGATTTAACTAAAGCGCCTATATTAAAACCATAAGCCATACTATAGAGTTCCGAAGCTAGAATGCTTCTGGTAACTCTCTTGCATTTAGTAGAGAACTAGTAGATAATATTAGTATGTCTAGTTTTATTTACTAGAACTAGAACGTATCTGATTTGGGAAAAGAGATCTCTATTATTTGCAAACGAAGCATCCGTAAAAACGATTAAATATAAGAACTTCTTTACTAGCTTTACGAATCTCAGTTCTCTAGCGGCATTCTTAATTTGCTATTAAATACACTTATTAAGTGCCTTTATATTAGTTTCCGAGAGTTTAATAACTTAAATAGTAATTAATAGATTATATAAAGCTTCTGGTTAATAGACTAATGCAATATATACTCCTCTAGTATATTAGGCAATATATTAGTCCTTAATAGAGAGATTTTAACGAATAGTACCCCTACTACTTATAGTAGTAATATTCTTTATAGAAATAGTTTAGAGGTTTTTATACTAGTATTCCTATATAAAAGTAATTCCAGTAGTATTTATATAAATAATATCTCTATTAAACTTGAGATTATAGTCAAAAGTAAGGGATTCACGCTCCTTAGCCAAGAACTTAGCCTTATAGAGCTTTAGTTACTTTGCCTTTACAAAATCATTAGTTCTAATAAATAAGATATTATTAGTTTAAAGGCTAATAATTCCGAAAAATTACTTACTATAAAGTAGGCAAGAGTTATAAGTCGACTATTTTATAAAGAGCTCATTAATATAATAGGAATAGTAAGTCTTAAATTAGTAGTTCCTAGCTTCCGGTATATTATATAGTAGTTTTATAATCTTTAGAACAGAATTATTCTTTAAATTTAGCTTTCTAGTAAGCTTATAAGATAAGTTAATATAGAAATTATAATTAAGTAAGGTTATTAATTAGATATAAGCTTGCGAGATATTATATAAATATAATTCTATAGTATCTATTATTATAGTAGTAATACTAAGGATAATTCTCTAGCTAATATATTAGATAGTAAGTAATTATATTAATATTATATATTTCTTATTATTATTATAAGCTTAAATAACTAGTCTCGACTTCTTAAGCTCTTTCTCCGTACTCTTATTCTTAATCTTATTAATAAACCGGGAATTAAAGATATGTATCTCTTTTAGTACCTAAGATCTAGAAGTAACCTTAAATATATTCTTTTCTAAGAGGCTAGTAACTTTAACTTAATAGAAATCCTTATATAGTTTATTATCTTATAGAAATACTATAATATCCGGGGTCTTATAAAGGCGTTCTCTATTATACTTTAGTAGAATAGCAGGAATAGTAAGAGGAATTATACCTGTATTATCTTTGGCCTTATTATTAGGTTCGGAAATAGGTTCAGGTTCGGGGCTATTAGTAATAACCTTAATATTTCCTATATAAAAGGGCTTTACGAAAGTTAAACGGAAAGTAATATTACTATATAATAGAGCTAGTATATAGTCCTCCTCATTAATAGCTACTAGCTTATATAGTTTATCCTAACTACTAGATTAACTAGTATTTCCTTTATACTAAATAAGAATATTTAAATTTAGGAATAGTTTATAGATATTAGTAGTATTAGAACTATTTCGGATATTTAAAGCATTCGCAATTTAATATCTAACTCAAAGCTTCTAAATTTCTACTATTATCTTCTTAAATACTACTAATTACTATAATATAATAAGTAATAAGGTATTATATTTAGTTATTCGAAATAAAGTATTATAAATTAAAAGAGTTAAAATAATACTATTAGGTCCTATAAAGTTATTAATAGCCTTAAAAGCTATTTAAAGTATAATATTCTTATTAATTCTATTAACTTTGGCTATAATAATAAAATAAGTATATTAGATTAGGCTATAGTAATATTCTATAATTCCGACGGAGTTATAAGCTTCTATAAGAATAATCTTAACCTTAGTTCCTATAGTATTTATAAGCTAAGCGAACTTCTTACTAGTAAACTACTTTCCGGCATTTACTATAATCTAATTAGGAAGGCCTAAATAGTTATTAATCTAGTATTACTTAAGTATATCCCAGATATATATTATACTAATATTCTAGAGCTATTAGCCGGCTTAATATTAAATACCTTTATTAATAATATAAAGTATAAGCTTACTATAAATATAGAAAATATTAATAATAATAAAATAATTAAAGCTAATATTATTTCTTAGATTAAACTTGAATTATTCGGGTAATTAGTTATATTTCTAGTATTACTTATAATACTTTATAAAGTACTTAAAAGCTTTTATATTAATATTATGGCCTGTT